GATAGCTTAGAAAAAGTCCGGTTAAGTCAGATGGTTTGTGTCCAGTTCTATCTGAAGGAAAAGCTAGGGCCAAACGATCTCTTAGCTCTTCTTCCTACGAAAATGTGAGTTTTTAAATAAGAAGTACTTGTAGGAGTCGTGGTATAGATTTCCTGAGCATTCCTCACAAACTGAATTCATGGATGCAGTCTATGTAAAAATATCACAGTGTTTAGGAAATACAGTTGAGGGGTCCACAAATGTGATATGGACCATCTCAACCTCATTGTAAGTGTCTGGTTTTTTTTTTTTCTTGGCCTCAGTCCATGTTTTACTGAATTAATAAATTCAGGACAAAGGATTGGAAGGTATGCTGTAAAGTGTGCATTTTTATTTTGCAAATGTTTGTCATGAGATTTTTAAAAACCTGATGGCTAATACATACAATGAATGATCACATACACTGAAAGGGGACGTACGATTGGAGTCCTAGCCCATGCTCAAAGTGCTTACAACTCATATTAAAAAAGCAATTGTTCGGGATAATAAATTGCAGATATAGCAAACAATAAATGCTCAGGAAGATTTTTTTCTTGGCCAGGCATTGCCAACAAACCAATTACAGAGGATGGGGGATTGGAATTGGCCCCCGGAAGACAGATTACTCAGAAGAGGAACTGGCACACACACAGACAGTAAAACACAGAAGGAGAGAGAGGAGAAAGGAAGGAACGGGGTGGGGGATGCAGGATACCGGCTTTGACCCAAACTGGATTCCTTTCCCTCTCAGAATCAAGGGACCAATGACAAAACCAGCATCGGATTCCACCGTGAAGCAGAGACTACTCTTTGACCAAAGAATCAGGAGAATCCAGGAGAAATAACTCTCAGATACGCTTCTCCCTGAACGAAGTGAGGGTCCCTTTTCAGAGTTGGGGAGAAAGGTGGCTTTTAGTTAAGAAGGAGGAGGACGACCAGAGACGTCCTGGGGAGGGGGCTGGGGCTGTCCTGCAGAGGAGGGGCTGCTCTCTGTGATCCTGCTGTGGCCCTGCTTCAGGGGGAACTCCGTTGGGGCCAGGTAACGAGAGGGCAGTGGCCGGGGGTGGATGGCAGGTCCCCACGGCCTCCTTCAGGGTGGAGTCCGGTGTCCTCCCTCGGCTTCTCGATAGCCACTGCGGTCCTGGGGGTCTGCATGGAGGGGGCTGGTCTGGATCAGAACACAGACTGTGGAAAGGACTTTTCTCCAGGTCTGAGGGGATGTCTGCCTGGTGACAGGAGGAGGGAAGAGGGGGAGGGAGGGAGGGAGGGAGGGAGAAAAGGAGACAAAGGCCGAGCGGGATGGAAGGGAGGGTGAGGAACATGGAGAGAGACAGACATCAAGGAAGACAGTGCCGGTTCCCCACAGGAGTCCACCCCACTCAGCGGGTCCACCCCACACAGGAGTCCACCCCGCACAGAGAGTCCACCCCACACAGGAGTCCACCCACACAGGAGTCCACCCACATAGGAGTCCACCCCACTAAGCGGGTCCACCCCACACAGAGAGTCCACCCCACACAGGAGTCCACCCACACAGGAGTCCACCCACACAGGAGTCCACCCACACAGTGAGTCCACCCCACACAGAGAGTCCACCCCACACAGGAGTCCACCCACACAGGAGTCCACCCACACAG